TCTGAAGAGAAACTGAGGAACATTGGATCTGGGGAAGTGGGGAGCAGGGGACTCTGAGGAATGGAGGGAGGGGAGGCTGCAGTTAGGATATATTGTATGAGAGAAGAATAAATAAACAACAAAGTAGTGAGAGGGGAGGGATTGTGGGGGCAGGGGTGGATTTGTGTAGGCCATCTCCTGAGGAGCTGCCTGTACTTATTTGTTAAGACCCTATTCTTCATGAGTTGCCTTGTCCAGCCTTAATACTAGGGAAGCACCTAGTCTTGCTGCGACTTGATAGCCGTGTTTGGTTGATACCCATGGGAGACCTGCCATTTTCTGAATAGAAATGGAGAGAAGTAGATGTGAGGGCTCAGGGGGGGGGGGAGACTGGGAAGAGAAGAGGGAAAGGAAACTACCGTCTTTATGTAAATAATAATCATTAAAAAATGAAAATGATATTAAAAGAAGAATGTTACAACCACAGACTGGGTGACTTAGACAATAGAAGTCTGTTTTCACACAGTTCTACAGCTAAAAGTATGGGGCCAGGTACTTGGCAGTGTTCATCCCTTCTAAGTCTGTGAGGGAACACTACATTCCCAGCATAGCTCCCCCGTGGGGTTATGTGTGGCTGTTTTCTTCCCTTGGGGTCAAATTTCTTAGCATGAACACTACATTGCATAAGGGCCTACCTGAACCCCCTCCTTTGGATTTAATTCCCTCTCAATAACACTATCTCCAAATAGGATTCTATTCTGATAGCCTGAGGATGGTGACTTCCATATCCAGATGTTTTGTTGGTTTGTTCGTTTTGGTAGTTGGTAGCAAATCTGCAGGACACATTGAGAAGACAGGCTCAGAAAACATCCTTTTTCAGAAGAAAGGAGGACAGGAACAGAGAGTGGGGTAACCTTAAGACAATGATCAGTATATTTAGAAATGGCGGAACATTCAGGGAAGATCTACCTTGGCTGAGTAAGGCACACAAGTTTGAAACCAGAGTGTGAAGGACTGAAAGTCAGACTGAGAAACATCGTCCCCAGTGAAGATATACTGAGATCTCAGGTAGTGGGAAGAAGTTCTTGTTAACACCCTTTGAAAGTCCATTCCACATTGTCAGTTTCCCCTGCATTCTTGGAGGTGTTCTATCACTGTTAAGCTTATATTGTTTATATAGAATGTTAAATATTATTTAGGCTTCACATAATGGCATGTGTTTGATGAGCAGTTCCTCAAAAATTTAACTAAATTTTTATTTCTCCAGGATTAAAGTTTTTCATATCACAACACATTTCTAATTTTGAGAAAGTCACCTTTCAGATTTTCGATCGTAGTGTGTATGACAATAGAGAACTTTCTGTTCCATAGCCCAAACAGATCTTGTTTAATATGTCCCATATTTCCTTCTGGAACGAGCCTTGTTCTGTAAACTCAGTCTTGCCCACACTGATGCTATTGTCCTTCCAACAGTTGACTTTCTCTGGCAGTACATTGCTAAGTGTATAGACTTAAGCCACATCCTTTTGAATCAGGAAAGTGACATTTGCCTTTTGCTCTTTTGATGGACATTCCTGTAAGATATGTATAATAATTTTATATTATGAGACCTTTATTTTACTGTTATAGTATTGTGAAAAAGCTAAGTGCTTGATGATCCTTGTAAAACTGATCTACCTTGTTAGAAATTCTTGAACAAAAGAGTCTACATCACACAAAAAGTCTTTTTGAACAATTCTACAATAACATTTAGTAGAAATTTACAGTATAAAGTCATATGTGGATACCTTTGCCTTTACAATGATCTCTATCATAGATATCTTGAAATCTGAAGAATTAAAGAAAAAACTTGCAGAGATGGGGTGGTGTTAATAATAATCCAAAAGAGGGTTATATTGATGTCAGAGTGGGAGCTGACAGAATTGCTGGCATCTTGACTGAAATCCTGGCTGCTGATGTAGGAGTTTATGTGAATTAAAAAAGAGGCAGGTAGAGTTTGGGTACAGATGTCTGTAGATGAGGACATGAAGGATGGAAACTTACAGCTTATCTTTTGATAGCATTTATTTTCTCATAAAAGTTGAATGTAATGTCATTAACTCCAAGGAATTATGAGAAAGGTGTGGGATACTGGTAGGGAATATAACATGGGAGAACATCAGAGCAGAGTGGATAGGAACTAGAATGGTTTGGTTATGGTATATGTTCCCATGTGGTGAGGAAGTGTGGCCTGTGTGTGTGACTTTGTCCAACCATGTTCATTTGTGTGGCATAAGTAGAGAAAAGGAGAGACTTTAACAAAAGCCTTGTTTTGGAGTTCCCAAACTCATATAAAGAGCTTAAAGAAAGTGAGGGTTAATGAGAACTAATAGTGGTGATGATTGACCACACAATGGAAGCAGGTGTACTGGTGTTGCTGATGGGATGAGGAAGGGTGAAAGGATTCTGGGGGATGTGCGTATACATGATTAGAAAGGCAGGAAGCAAGACTTTGTAAGACATAGAATATTTGAAATTGCATTCAGCTTTGTACATATTGTGCTTACCACCTAAACCCCTTCCCTAGTTGACACGTCCAATTCTCATCTTCTTTTCATTGTCCAGGTGTTAGACCCCACTCCCAAGCTGAGGAAATCTAAGCTCTCTTGGAGTGTTCTTAGCATTTTACTGAGTCCAGCTGACTGTTAATGTCTCACATTTCCCTTCAGTCCCCAGAGGTTCCTGAGAAATTGTGATTCAGTCTAGCCTTCTATGTGTCTCCGCCATCTGTTAAACTCATAGCAGAATAATTACATCATAATGGTGATATAAAAAAGTGAGCTTTCTGTCTCCTTTACAACAGAGTTGTGTACTATGCAGAAAATGCAGAATAAATGATAGCAGTGATTTTGTGTCTTATGCCTCAAAAAGCGCTGTTCCCTCTTGGATGTGCTTTTTTCTTTATTGGGAACCCCTCTTCCCCATATGCAATGTTTTTATTTAGTTGTTAATTACTGAAGAAAAGCAGAGCTGTTGTTTCGAAGCCATACAAAGCCGTTTTCTTTCCCTTCATGTGTCTGCATGTGTGCTGTGTGTGAACATGTTTATGGACATTTCCACATGTGTGCTGTGTGTGAACATGTTTATGGACATTTCCACATGTGTGCTGTGTGTGAACATGTTTATGGACATTTCCACATGTATGCTGTGTGTGAACATGTTTATGGACATTTCCACATGTGTGCTGTGTGTGAACATGTTTATGGACATTTCCACATGTATGCTGTGTGTGAACATGTTTATGGACATTTCCACATGTATGCTGTGTGTGAACATGTTTATGGACATTTCCACATGTATGCTGTGTGTGAACATGTTTATGGACATTTCCACATGTAGTGTGCTGTGTGTGAACATGTTTATGGACATTTCCACATGTATGCTGTGTGTGAACATGTTTATGGATATTTCCACATGTATGGATTCACTTGTGTGTCTAGAGACTTCAGGCTGACATTGGGTGTCTTCCTTGATTGTTTTCCACCTTAGTCATCTGAATAGTCTCTTAGTCGAACATGGAACTACCCAGCTTGCTCCAGGCATCCTCTGTCTCTACCTTCCAAGCACTGGGAGTAGAGCCGGGTACCATTCCCACCTGGCATTCACTTGAATTCTGGTATCCGAAGTCCTGTTCTCATACTTGCATGTCCCGCACTTTATCCACTAAGCCATTTTTCCAGTCCTGAAGTCAGTGTTCTTCACTAATCTGAAGTAGGCTTTTCCTCTGGCATTAATGTGTCCATGTCTGCACAATCTCCACATTTCTGATCCCCGGGGGGAAACTCACATGGCTTGCAGTGACTGTGCTACCCTAAACAGACAAACAGATTTAAAGTAGTTTAATCTTTGGTGGGGTGGGGAGCAGGTACATAAAACATTCAGCACACATTGGTGAGGTTGTCTAAGAAGAAAGACATTGTTCAGTTCTTTTGGATTAATTAGTTGAGAGAGGGGAACAGAAACGGCAAGAAAAAGGGAGTTGGTCTATGTTTTTCTCATTTCCCACATATTTGCTGCTTTTCTAAGAATAATAAACTATTCCCTTTCCTGTAGCTTCTGCTGTTTTCTTGGTAGCAACTGGGTATCAATAAGAAGCAAATGCAAGCCTCAGAGATGTGAATCTGGCCTTCTAGGGTTCACGTCCACTGTGTAGTATGGAAGACATCTTGTTTACTTCCCTATGCTGCTAAGCACAAAACAGCTCTTACCCTGCACTCAAACTTGAATTTTGTACAGATCAATAACCCTTAAATAGGTTTTCTATTTAATCTTATTTCTGTCCCCAGACATTTTTTCTCATGTCAACATTTCCATTTACTTCTGCTTATGTGCGTGTCTGATTGTGAAGTGCATGGGAAAGATGTGTTATTAGAATATTAGGCTTTTTAAAATAATAAAACTAGGACTGTGACAAAGATACAGTCCTGTATTTTAGTGTGTACCTAGATCGTAATTATATGTATATCCCAAAGGGAATAACTATGATAATATTATTAAGTCAAAGCAAAGAGTTCTTTGTTTCAAGGTAAGTTAATGTTCAAAATACGTTTTATTGTCAAAGGAAGGATGATTTCAATATATCATAATATTTGAATTCCTTGAGTCATTAAGACATCTGTGATGATTGATAGGGCTCAGATCAAGGCATGTCATCAGCATAATTAAGCCTTAATCCTGAGGCTTTCAGTTCCTGGCTTTGCTGTTTGCCCAGGGTGGCAAGAAGGCATATTCTGTGTTTGGCATGAGCTCGACTTGGACTAAGGTAGAAGATGTCAGAGAAATTGGACACTAACCGAATGTGCCGTAGACTGTCACTGCCTCGTTACAGTGTTTACCTGTGTTGTCGTCACCAGGCCTGCCAATCCAATTACTGACCAGAGCTGGTGTTGAGATGGCCTATAAATATGCAGGCCAGAGGCTGCCATGATGGGCCTGATTCTCCGGCATGAACGGTTTCTATGCCTAGGTCCCAGATCATCACCATGAAACTGATCCTTTTGTGCCTGGCTGTGGTGCTCTGCACCTTTGGCAAAGGTAAAGAATTTAAGAGTATTTTTAAAATTTAATAAGTGCCTCTGTACTTACTGCTTAGTGTTCTCCACTTCTTTCTTGTGTTTCAGAGTAGGGTAATATGCAGGGATACATTTTTTTATTTCAGCAGATGTTATTTATGCTTTAAGAAGTGATCTCCAGGGTGTGTGGTGTGTGTGTGTGTGTGTGTGTGTGTGTGTGTGTGTGTGTGTGTGTGTGTGTTAGCCTTAAGGTTCATTGATCATTCTCAGCACAGTTTATACTTTGATAACCATAGTTTGAGTATACATTCCCGTGAAGTCTAAAAGGCTGCATTGAGAATTGTGGTATTTACAAATAAGAGCCACTTCTGAAAGGACCAGTCTATCACTAAGACAAAATATCACAGGGAAGACATTTTGTAAAGTGACCAATTGCTTAGATATTTCAAAAAGCCAGACTTATTGAAGGCATTCTGATAAAATTAAAAATTGAGCAAAATAAAAAAATATTAGGCAGCAGTTTTACAGTCAATCAAAATGAAATTTATATGGTTTCACCAGTCATGACTGTAGAAAAAAAATTTAAAGAAAGAAAAATTTTAAAGTTCCGGGATAAGTAAAAAAAAGTCAGTTATAACTAAAGCTATAATATGTGTATATATATATAGTGTGTATATACTGTATATATATATATACAGTATATACACACTATATATAATGAAATGTAGATTGGCACACTGTGTGTATATTTCTTATAAGCTTTCTTAGGCTATTCTTTATTCTCACTAAAATAAAATTCATAAAATTGTTTAGGTCATTCTTTATTTTCATTTTTAGCTAATATATTACTGAGAAAATATTAGGGAAAATAAAATCAGGTAAAATTTAGATTGGAAATTTTTAGATCAAGGCTGTTATGGGGAAAAGACATAGCATATTGACCAATATTAAATGATGAGTTTTGTTTGCCACTGCATTTTCAAGAATGGGATAGTGTGACTTTCGGTATACAGGCCAATGTATTCCCTAATCACATGGAGGGAAGTCTATTAAATAAGAAAGCTCCAAAATAATAAATTAGTATTAAAATGTCAGTTGTTATATATAAAGGGGGTTGCTCATATTGAGTTGTAAGAAAGAATTGAAGTAAAAATATTTTCATTGTCTTAAAATGTGATATTATTTATTATACCATTTCTCTTCTTACCTTTTAAGATGGGAGGGCGCAGTTCTTTGGTAAACAGAGAAAAGGTCAGTATCTTTCAAAACTCGATCTTTACTTTGTAATGTGACGGTGATCTTGGAACCTGCACATGGAAACAGAAAACACCCCTTGGTTTAATTCTGAAGCTGCCGGACTCCTCATTTACATGGTCAATTGGGGCTTCGAAGATTACATATATTAGCAAAATAGAGGTTGGCAATTGGTACCGGGTCTTTGGTGGATGTGGATTTTGTTTTGAATGAACTCATGGGAAAAATTTCTAATCTGTATATTTAGCACTTAAAGAACCATGCTATTGTCCGAAGAGAGCAGCAATATAAATACCCTGTTCTGAAGGGGCTTGTGTCTTGGAGAAAGAGATCCCACCTCTGATCTGTTGTGGGATTTTGGAAAATCATTTAAGTGGTATTTTTTTTGTTTTTTGTTTGATTTTTTTTCTTGTCACACAGAATAGAAAACTTTCCAGCTCATATTTCTCTGTGACAGTTACAAGGGTAGTGATTGGCTTTTCATTACTCTCATTGTAGTTTTCTTGAGGGAGGAAAAGAAAGGTGGATAAAGGTAAATCTGTTGAAGGGTAGATACATAGATTTTCACATTCAGAAATTAAAGCCAGGTAAAGAAACAAGGGTCAATAAGATACTGTTTTTCTGGGTGTTTTGAGACAGGGTCATTGACCTTAGCAGATATGGATGTTGGTGGAAACTAGTAAAACATCAGGAAGCTTGATGAATCTAAGAAGAGATTTGCATGTCATTGGTGCAAGAATTCTGATGTGGATTATTAATTCAAAGCCAAGGGGCTAGTGTTTGCCCATTTGTTTATTTGTTCATTATTTATTGATCTGCAAAACATTTTCATTTTCCATATGTCTTCCCATTTTTTTTTCTCACTGGTGGCACAAAGTGTGTATGAAGTAATTGAGGTGTGGTGTAGGTGTTCTTGCTTAGGTAGGATCCATGGTGATGGACTGAATAAAAAGAAAACGAAGTAGAGATCAAAGCAAATCTGTTTCATTGATCTAAATACTATGATTTAGGCTTTGTGTATTGAAAGTGAAAAGTTAAGATGTATCTATTCTCTGGTGACAATGTTGTTCTTGTTGTTTCAAGGGGCTGCAGCTGTTAGATTTGAGGGTGGCTTTGGCTTTGGTGCCAATGCAAACGTGGGGTCTGCAGTAGGGATGAGGCCGAAAACCAAGAGTGCTGATGGAGACAAACAAGACAATGTACCTGCTGGAGGTAACTGTAGTCCCTGGACCTGGTGGTGACTGTATCTCTCTAGTTCCAATGCAGAGTTACACCTGAATTACTTAAATTTGTTAACCTGTGAGACAAGAGTTTTTTCAACTGCTATATAATCATCATAGGCCAAATTTTAATAGTTTTTTGTTTGTTTGTTTTGGTTTTGATTTTGTTTTTTACTTGCAAGTGGAACTGCTGATTTGTAGCTTAAAAGGGGAAAGAAGGAGAGGAAGATTCTGGTAAAAAGGTTCTCTGGAGTTTGTGGCTGGAATTCTTTTGTTGTTAGTGCTTTGCTAGCAAAATACGTGCAGTCAGATACCTTGTTGCGGAGGATACATTTTCAGTGATTTTGATACTGTTACCTAATATTTGTACACAAAACATTGGGATTCAGGAGTATTCCATTATCCTCTGTGACTTTCATTGTTTTTATTCTTCAGATAAAGCCAAGTTGGAAAGTAAGAGTAATGTTGGTGCTGGTGCCACCTTAGATGTAAACTCCCAAGTGGAATTGGAATCAGCCATCAAAACAATGACTTCAGCTCTTGCTAAAAGAAAATACCTTCTGGACAAGTTAACAGGCAGCATTCTACCAGGTTTCAGCTCTTGGAGATCACAAGGCGTTTCAAATATGTCTTATATTATATGGGAATAGAACTTATATTAATATGAATAGGAAGATCAGGGACTTTAGTTTATTTCTTTTATTTTGATTTTCTGTTGGATGTAGCACTTGGTATTCTATTCTGGAAGAGGTAGAGAAAGAAGGTTGGAGTTAAAACTGACCTGGCAATTTCTAATACAAATTAGTTTGGTGACAGTTCTAAAAGTAAACAGAACAAAAGCTTCTGGAGAATAAAGTGAAAGTGCTTGGGGCGTCAATATTCCTTTTGAATTGACGTTTAGTGAAGTATGGTGGTCTTCACATGACAATGCCTTTACCGCCTGCATCTGATGTTGCTAGTCATTTCGGGTTGGATCATGATCATAGTGAAGCAGGAACTGGAAGCAGCAGTGGGGCTGGCAGTGGATCAGATAGTCTACTGAAGATGTGTGGGCCGGTGAGATTTAATCCATGTCTCAGGCTACAGTCATCTGGGAGTAGGACTCTGCAAGCAATACTATCTGCTAACACTGTGTTTTAGCTAAAGGTCAAACTTTCACTCACCTGAGCAGAGAAAGGCTTTATTACTCCCAAGGATGTGAGGCATGGAGGTCCTTAACATGTCTGTACTCAGGTCAAGAATATACTTTCACTTGGGATTTATTCAGCTCCCCACACAGAATGTAGGTCCAGGGGGTCTGTTGTCATCCAGATAATTTCATGAATAGAGGTTTATGGATAAGGTTTGCTGAAAATCATATGGCAACAAATTCTAATCTAGTAGAATTTTAGGATGATAAATGGCTGCAAAAAAGGGAGAACTGGTTCAGTGTGGATCATTTAGTAAAATTACTCTGGAAACTGGTATTGATGGAATGAACAGAAAGTCTAATAGGACTGGACATGTGAGTCTGACCTGTGATGCTATGTCTGACCCAGTTTATTAAGCTGGGTCCTTCTGAGGATTTTAAATGGGTGCCAAACTTTAGTAATCATTTTCTAAATTTGCATTTTCATTTTCCATCAAAGAGAGTGAACCATTGTCTCCAGATCTGTCATTAGAGAAGGAAAGTGTAGATGTGTTTGGATTTTTGTTTCAAATCATCTTTGAAAATGCCTGTAGTCGTGTAGGCTTTGAGGAAAGTGTAAGACATGGTTCCAAGGGCTCTAGATACCCCACGATCTCCAGTAATCTAGCTGTGGACATCCTTGTCCCAACACAGTGAAGTTATGAAGATGAATGCATAGCCAAAGTCAATCTTGCAATCATGATTTTAATTCCCCAGGTGACTCAAGTGAAAAAAGTGAGCTACCCTCTTTAGTTGGGGTTTCTACAGATTCAGAGTCCATCTGAAGCCTAAGGAAAAACAGGCAGCTGGATCTGATGGCAGTGACAGGAATATAGAGATCAGCAGTGAGTCTTCAGGGGCTGGAAACTTGAGTGCTGGAAATTAGAATTCCAGATATTTCAGTGTCAGTATCCTGTCAGGTATTTCATGATTAGATATTTTTGATCACATTTGCATAGTAAAGACCACTGCACACTTTTAATAATCTGGTTGAACTGTGAATGGAAGAAGTAGGTAAACCAAACCATGGACAGATGGGGTTTGACGGAGAGCATTTACTGAAAAGGACTTTGGGCCCATGCACGACTAAATGAAGAGGAGTCTACAAGAACTGGACCCATGAGTCTCAGGGGTGATGCTTTTTCTCACACACTCTACTAGATGGATCCTTCTAAGAATTTCAAATGGTTCCAAATTCATTGTTTTGTAATTTGCATTTGTGTTTTTCATCAAAGGGAGAGAACTAGTTACTACAGTATTTTTTTCCCATGGAGAAAGACAGAGTGAATGTTTTGGCTGTAGTGATACAGACTTTGATGTAAAGTTGAGAATAAATTCAGAATCCTAAGGAGGAGAGATGCCTACTATGGAGTGTGAGCCCATGACATCTAAATCCCGGCAATAATTTAGAGCACTTCATTTATCTGAAAGTGAAGGAATTCAGGTTATTTGAATTGATCCTTGTGGAAGGAAGGGCAGATCTAAATTTGAACTTGAAATTTCTAGTTGAAGCTCATCCTCTGACAATAGCCTGTGCTCAAAGGTCTTTGGAAATCTATGCTCTGGGCTGGTGTTGATAATATTATCTCACCAAGGACCTTTGGAACTATAATTGTTATTGAATATGATCCATCGGCTAAATTAATCTCATTCTGATTTTGCATGGAGAGATTACATTGTTCTTCAGTTTGGGGAGAGAGAAACGATACAGGAATGGATGTAATGATTTTTCATAGAAAGACCATATTCTTCTGTCTTGAAAAACAGGAAACAAACAAGGATGGATCTAGTTTGGACGCTGTACTTTCAGTGTTTCTGAGAACAAAGAAACATGAACTAAAATATGGTAGATTATTATAGTGTTGGATGGTCAGGTGATGAATTTTAATTAGTCTGAATACAAAGTTTGAATTATTGAACTTTTGACCTACATTCTGATGACAATAATTTTCCCTTTGACAGCTTCACAAGCAAAAAATCTCATTCAGACTGTTTTTGAAAAAATTCTTGGAGGAGCAATGGCCAATGCTGGTGGCTCAGGTAGTCAAGTGTCTGTGTGTGACAACAGAGTCTGAATTTTGCTGAGCTTCCAAACCCTTGTTTGCTTGGCAGTTGAATTATTTGCCAGTTGTAAAACCTAGGTTCCTAGGTAGAGGCCTGGTCAAATGCAGGGTAGAGTTATGGTTGGTTGTGGATCTGGGTTCAAGCCCTTTGCTGACAATGATCTTAGTGAACATGGAAGAAAATTCCTTTGACAATAGTGAGTCTGGGGTTAGTTTTCTGTCAGTTATTTCATGATCAGATGTTTTGAACAGGTTTGTATAATATAGTCTACTAAGAGCCATCTAGTAAACTGACTGTGAATAAAAGAAGTGGATGTAGAGCATTTACTAAAAAGTACTTTGGGGCCAGGAATGGTGGAAAGACCCGAATTCTTCTGGAACTGGACCAATGAGTCTCAGTGGGTTGCTATTGAATACCCATTATACTAAGCCGGGCCCTTCTGAGAATTTTAAATAGGTTCAAAACTCACTGTTCTGTCACTTGAAGTTTTATTTTCTAGCACAGGGAGAGAACTGGTTTCTCCAGTTTTACCACTGGAGAAGGACAGATGGATGTGTTGGCTTTGGTGGTATAAGGCCTTGGTGAAAATGGAGAATGTGACTTTCAGGGCTCGAGATATCCCCATGATCTCCAGTAATTAAGCTCTGAACACACTTGTCCCAACACAGTGCAGCTGTGAAGACTGAGCACAGCCAAAGTCATCCTTATGATTATGATTTTACCTCTGCCAGGTGACGCAAATGCAGAAAGTAAGCTGCAATCATCACTTGAAGTCTCCACAGCATCAGCAGGTGATCAGAAACTCCAGGGTGAATGAGCAGCTGGGGTGGTGCAAATGACCAGAATGCAGAGATCAGCTGTGGGTCTGCAGGGGATGGAACCTTCAAAGATGAGAATAAGAGTGGCAGAGGTTTCTTGACCTGCATTCCACTCCATGGATATCCAGCTTACATCATGTTCTTTTTGTTTGTTTGTTTTTCAAGACAGGGTCTCTCTGTGTTGCCCTGGCTGAACTGGAACTTGCTCTGTCGACTAGGCTGGCATTTGAACTCAGAAATTCACATGCCTCTTCCTCCTGAGTGCTAGAATTAAAGGCATGCCTGACCACCACCCAATCATAGCATGTACTTTTATTTTAAGTTTCCTATGGAGGGAACACTTGCTCTTATCACGTCATTCTGGATCTGTTAGAAAAAGGAAGGAAAGCTGAAATTAAATTCAGACTTGGACTTTGAGTCACATTCGTTTGCTGACAAGAAATTTCATGTTTCCTTCCTCGGAACAAATATTTGAGTTGAATGCATTGAATGTCTTTGCTCTTAAGATGTCAATCCTGACACTCTTCAGGTGGCATCCCTAAGACGAAGAGAGTAACAGAGTATCAGGGCAAAGTAGGATTGGAAGAAGGAGAGATGCCTGCAGTGGATAAAATTGTTTGCCTAACTGTGTGACCCAGTGGGATCCAAATCTAGGCAATAGTTTAGAGAATTTCATTTCTCTGGAAGGGAAAGGATTCAAGTTATTTTCATTGGCCTTTGGAGAAGGAAAGGTCCAGCTAAATGAAGTTGAAAGTTCTAGTTGAAGTTCATCCTCTGACAAGAGCCTCTGCTCAAAGGTCCTTGTGATTATTTGCTTGGGGCTGGTGTTGGTAATATGTATTGTCTCACCTAGGATCTTTGGAAGTATAACTGTTATTGAAAATGGCGTGGTGGCTAAATTAATCACATTTTGATTTTTATGGAGAGACCACATTGTTCTTCTGTTTTGGGAGAGAGAAAACACACAGGGATGGATCTAGTTTGGATACTGTCCTTTGTGTCAAGTCAGTGTTTGTGAAAACAGAGAAGCCTGAACTAAAAGGTGGTAGACGATGTAATTTCGGGTGGTCCAGTGCAGATTGTTTATTTTGTCTGAACGCAAAGTTTGAATAATGAAGTTTTGACCTATGTTCTGATGACAATCCTATCTATTTTACAGCTGAAACCCCTGAGGCAGACGCATCCAACATGTCAAAGGGCTCCGAAGCAATAGTTAACAATCACAGGGACAATGCTGGTACCTCAGGTAGTCAGTGGCTGTGTGGGGCCTGGTCAAATGCAGGGTAGATTTGTGGTTGGTTGTGGATCTGGGTTCAAGCCCTTTGCTGACAATGAGCTTAGTGAATGTGGAAGAAAATTCCGTTGACAATATTGAGTCTGGGGTTAGTTTCCTGTCAGTTATTTCATGATCAGATATATTTTTTTTAAAATCAGGTTTGCATAGTACAGTTCACCAACAGCCTTCCAATAAACTCATTGCCCTTTGGAGAAGGAAAGGTCCAGTTAAATGAAGTTGAAAATTCTAGTTGAAGTTTGTCTTCTGACAAAGCTTAGGCTCAAAGGTCCTTGGGAATCTGTGCCAAGGTCTCGTGTTGAGAATAGGTGTTCTCTCAGCTGGGATCGTTTGAACCTTAATTGTTATTGAAAATGGCGTGGTGGCTAAATTAATCTCATTTGATTTTCCATGGAGAGACCAAGTTGCTCTGTTCTGAGAGAGAGAGAGGAATCAGGAAAGGAAGGCTCTAGTGTGGATGCTGTACTTTGTGTCAAGTCAGTGTTTGTGAGAACAGAGAAGCCTGAACTAAAAGGTGGTAGATTATGTCAGGTGGGGTGGTCTGGTGCAGATTGTTTAGTTTGTCTGAATGCAGTTTTGGATATTGAACTTTTGTCCTATGTTCTGATGACGTCATTTTTCCTTCGACAGTTGGCATGCACAATGGAAGTGGGATGAAGACGTTAACGGAACGGTTATCAGAGGGTGAGAGAGAGCTCCGTGCCAGTGACTCGTCAGGTGTTAGTGTGTGGCAATCAAATATGGATTTCGTTGAGCTTCTAAAACCCTTGTTTGATTGGTAGTTGAATTCTTTGCCAGGTGTAACATCTGGGTTCTTTTGTAGCGGCCTTGTCAAATACAGGGTAGTGTTATGGTTCATTGGGGATCTGGGTGCAAGGGCTTTGCTGACAATGATCTTAGTAAACATGGAAGAAATTTCCTTTGACATTGGAGAGTCTGGATGTGTTCTGTCAAATTTTTCCATGACCAGAAGGTTTTGATCACATATGTATAATACGGTCTGCCAGCAACCTTTTTAATAAACTGGCTGAACTGTGAGTAGAAGAAATGGGTGTAGAGCAGTTGTGGTTGGGGCCAGGACTGATAGAGTGAGCATAATTCTTATGGAATTGGACCATTGAGTCTCTGAGGTGATGGTATTTCTCAGCCACATTTACTAAGTTGAGTCCTTCTGAGAATTTTAAATAGTTTCCATATTTTCTTTGTTTTGTAACCTGCATTTTCATTTTCCAACAAAGGTAGAGAAGTTTTTTTCTCTAGCTTCAACTATGAAGAAAGGAAAAGTACATGTGTTTGGATTTGTGGTTATTCTGCTTTATATAAACTTCGTGGCTATGGTTATAGTGATGTAGACTTTGAAAGAAATGGGGGACATGGCTCTTAGGGCTCTAGATACGCTGTGATCTCTAGTTATCTATCTGTGAACATCCTTGTCCCCACACAGTGGGGGTCAGAAGAGTGATGTATAGCCAAAGCCATCCTTCTGATTATGATTTTACCTTTGTCAGGTGTCTCAGGTAGTCAGCACTCCTCAGTTGGAGCCACCACAGGTTCAGAAGGGCATCTGAATCCTAAGGATGAAAAAGCCCCTGAGGTTAATGGAAATGAGGTGGATGGACAGAATAGTAGTGACTCTTCAGGGACTGGAAGCATGAATGTTGGAAATAAGAATGACTCAGGTATCTTGACCTGCATTCTTTTCCTAAAATATCCTAACAAGTAGCCTCCTCCATGATTTCTCTTAATCATGTTTGATTTTTCCATCAGAAAACCAGAGTTTAACTTCTGTGTCTACAAGTACCAATGCTGCTTCTCTTGGACCACATGACTCTGCTGGCTCTGATGTTAGTGACCGATGTACCTGTTCTACTGATTGATGAGCATATGACTGAACCTGTTTCTGTTCCTTACCTATTTAGAGTCATTTCTCATTGGAAAATCATGATTTTTGAAATCTAGCTTTAAAGCAATGAAAATCATTAACATTCCTATTCATAACTTACAATCAAGTCAGAATTCTGAAGTCTCACTCTATTTAGTTGTTATCAGGTAGAAGCCTATAAAAGGCTTTTTTGTTGGCATATAATGAGCCAGGGCTTATGTCTGTTCCCTGATTTGTCTTCCTTCTAAAGTGATTTGGAATCTGCTATAGTAGTTAGTGTCATTGTAGATGTGTTTGGCTTAATCTTTATATCCTAGATGTAGAGTTGATTGGCTAGGTAACTTTTGCAGACACAAGTTGGAGATGCATAACCAAGTTGATCCCTATTTGCAATATTGTAAGAATTCTATAAATTGTTAAGATAGTATTTGTGACTGATGTGTCATCTACTTCGATAATATTAACCATTGGGAATTAGTATAGGAAATGTCCCTTCACACCAATATGGGCTTGAGACCTTGTAATGAAATGAGTATTCAGAAAAGTATTCAGTATTTGTTAGAACAGGATATTGTTAATATCTGGCTACAGTGAGAAATCTAAAATCAAGTGATGTATTATACTGTAGTAAATTTGACTTTAGCTCAGGATTGACTATTAATGAATCTGCTAAAAATGACTTTGTCATACAGCAATAAAACTGTTGTATTTTAGTTCTTCATCTTTGGGTATAAAATTTTATAGTCATCACATATGTTAAATTAATAAAATTTAAATCATTATCCATTGTCATTGATTTTATTTAATTGTGATTTGATGGAGATAGTCAAGAGACATTGAATTTTTGTATCCTGTGTTCATTGGTGTGAGTTCAGGTATATAGCTTTGCTTTTGTTATTGAGAAATATATTGGGAATTAACACTTTTTTTAAAAAAAGCAAAGTTGGAGTTTATTTAGAACAGATTCTGACAGATTTTTAAATGTGGTCATTAAGGGAGAGAGGTTGGTGCCTAGGAAGTGTACATGTTTGAAAGTAGGGTGTTGCTTCTCAAGAGAGAATGACATTGAAGTCTGTCTATCTGCCTGTCTATTTATCTGCCTGTCTGTCTGTCTATTGATCAATCAATATCAATATCCCTCAATATCTGATTTTTTGTGCTTTTGAAATTACATTGTTCAAAGACTTTTTTCAATGTCCCATTAGCTTGCCTTGTGACTCTATCCTGCATTTGTTTCTTTCAAACTTTTCTATTTTCTCTTAAGTGTTGTTGATGACTGAAGTACAGTTTTTTTTGAAACTTTCTATGGCTGAATATCATTGTAGATCCTATGTAGGGGTCAAAAGTTTTGACATTTCTGATCCAGGGGAAAACATGAAAAAGTTGAATCTTAGAGATCAGAGAATGGTCGGTCATTCCATAGGAATCTGGAGGAAAAAAAGTAATCATCATGCTAGACAAGAAAATAAAAAAATATACAGTAGACTGATTGTTGTGTCTAATCCGGAAATTAGCACTAAAAATAGGAAGACTTTTTATCTATGGTGAGTTGACTAAGAATGTTGCTGGTAAACTATTAAAGTTGAAGGAAACATTGTATACATTTGCTTTGGATGTGTACATCTTGGGGGACTGAGGATACATTTCTCAAGGTGCCAGGTGTGTTCTGTCAGTGCTCCATTTTAAACTGGCATGGGCTTCCCTTGTGTTGTCAAGAGATCAAGGCCACCTGCTTTGTCCGAGGGCTGTACTCATTGATTTAATATCTGAGTATAGGAGTGAGATCCCTTGGGCTGTAAAGTTAGAGGACTTTTGTCTGCTTATTTTTGTTGCTGTTGTTAGAGGTCCTATTTGTCATATAACACCCTCAAACTCTTGTTGAGGAATAAATATGGAAGCTAAATGCTTATACCAGTGAAAAAAACAGATATTGTCCAGCTATGGTAAAATGAGAAGACCTCCAGGGTAGTTAATAATCTTCATCCAGTGACTTTTCCTTATACCCAGTGGAATCCTAATGTACAATTCTCTCCAATACACGCTGTGGCAAAGCTCACTCAGAGAATGTTTCCATTAAACCATTTAGTGCAAATAGAAATAACTCACATGATTCTAGATCTCCATGTCTGGCTAGCAATGACAAACCATTTTCTCTACTATTGTTATGGTCAATTACTGTTTGTGGCAGGGATCCACCCTAACCACTGGGCAAAGTTGCCAAACAAAGGGGAGCCAATTGACAGAGCTGCCCTTTCACAGGAATGAACCGAATGCCACCATCTTAAATCTGAAGTTGTCCTTCCTGACCATTGGATAAACCTTGAGACACTACATAGGAGACTAATTTTATTGCGGGCTTAGCCACAACCCCTGTTTGGGGTGAATCTCTGCTAAAGAAAAAACTGTCCCTGGGCCTGGTTTCAAGGTCAGTAAGATTTACTGGCCATAAACATTAAAACTTGAAGCTATTTAAAAGATGAAAGACTTTTCTTTTTCATCCCAAGTAGGTTCTATTGCTGTTTCCAGTCATGATTCTGTAAAGACACCCTAAGACCAGAAATAATAAACAGCTGAAATCCACAAACTCATCAGGCTTCTTCCATAGTATCTCTTAAATATTGCCATGCCCAGTCTAAAAGGAAATTAGTTTCAAGGTAAACAGGGTTTATTGAAATCAATTAAAAAAAAAGATGTTAAAAGCTAAAAACCTAAACATGGTTATGTACTGAGAATATAGTTAGATACAAAAGAATAATTTCTGTTTACTCAGAAATATTTACATCCTTTGAGAGGTATCTGAAAAAAATCAGATTGTCAATCCTGCTCGCACCCCCCCACCCCCCACCCCCACACCCCCACACCCTCCCCCCTCCCCCCCCCACACCCCCGCCATCCCTGGCAGAATGTTTTCGCTGGGCTAAGTGAAGTCAGTAGTTTGGTCTCAATTCCGGAGTTACTACATAGTGGACAGGCCATGTCATGTGACCAGAATAGTTTAGTGCTGTGGGACCCCAGCTGGGAGACCAGTTCCCACATTTTATGACAGGGTACTCTTGAGGAGTGAGGGATAAGGGATATTAGATAGAAGGATAGAGGGGAAAGAAAACAGAAACACAGGATAGCCTTGAGAAGGCCTGGATCATTATCCACCAGCCCCATCTGGCTCTTCTAAAGGGCTATTTATAGGAATGCCAAGGGGTGGAGCAAAAGACCTCCTCCTAGCACAACCAAGTGCAGACCCTTCCAATCACCTAGTAACCATGCACATGGTCAAGCAATCATCTAATGCAGCTCTGCCAGGTAAGCAAGCTCAGATCTCACTAGGAAAACTTTGTGGACCTCCACATGGTGCACCTCTTTCCAGGTGACTCAGTTATAATTTCCACTGACAATTTCCAGTGTTCTGCTTTCAGCCACAGAATCTAATAGTTTCCCTTGATTCTAACAGCCATTTTTAGTCAAATCAAAAAGTTGGCCTTTGAATGTTCTTTCAGTTATGAGCGAGGACTGTAAATACCATATCTTTATCATTTTGCCATATAGAAGGCAAATGGTTTTCTTTGCATAAATCATGAACTCCCCACCCCATGGCTGATAATTGTAAATCCTTTAAACATCTGGATGTTAAGGGTTCAGTAAATCTTTTGGCTTGGGGTGTTTCTTTTAACAATTGGTTACTATATAAATTCATTGAGAAAGGAGTCCGAGGTTGTCTGTTCTGGCAGAAAACAATTACCCCTTAAATGGTTTCCCCGGTACATAAAGTTACACAAGGCCTCTCAGTGGTGGCCACTGTTACTTGAGGCAGGCTTCCCTAGGAAACAATGGGCAGCTGTAATCTCCCACAATATCCTTCATTGTAGCCGAAGGACTCCCCTTTTGTGGAGGGGCAATGTCCTGAGTTCCTAGAAGTCCATCCAGGAAAGTTATTTTTCAGTACCTTGATTTTCCATAGCAATGTCAAGCATCAGCCCTTTCAAAACATTTTTATTTTACGTCGGTTTCTCTGAGGGGCCTGTTTGTTTGCCTGGGGAAATACATTTGTCCCAGGGGCAGGGCTATCACCAGGCAGGCTTTGTCTTGTGTCTGTGACCATTTTCCCTGGCACTTTGCCTGTGCTTTGTCACCATTGCTGACACTCCAGAAATCAAATTTAAACGGCATAGGTGTAGCCAGACACCTTAATGTCTGCTTTTGAAGCTCCTTTCTAATGTCTAAAGAATATTGACTGATAAAATAAATTCTAGCTGATATGTTTTTCCCCCTCACCCCCAGATAATAAGTTTCCCTACTGACACAGTGCACTGGATCAATCCACATGGCAAGCATAACAGCAGGCTTACTGAGAATAAAGCAACTCCTGGGCAGGTTCACTGGTCTCAGAGAAAGAGGCTAGAGAAGTTGCACCCCGAGCCAAGCAGGGAGTTTTTATAGCTCTTAGGCAAGGGGTGATGACTGGCCAGCCAGGAGCTGGGACTGTTTTTAAGTATCTTCAAAGGCTAAGCCCCTGGGCTGGCACTTGGGTGGTTTGGTCACATCAGGAAGGTGGGTTGCAATGGCTGGTAGGAATGTCGAACTAGGCTTTGGGTGCCATTCCTTGTTCAGAGTTTTTTAGTGTGTGTGTGTGTGTGTGTGTGTGTGTGTGTGTGTGTGAAGTAGTGCAGACAGGGTTTTCTGGTTTGTGCAGGGGCAAGCTGGAAGCTCCAATCAAACACAAGCAATATTTTAGGTTAGAACAATTGAAATAATAATTTTTTGAAATATAGCCAATTTAAGCATACATGTATAATTTTTAAATTTTTATTTATTTATTCTTTGTGTCTTTCACATCGTGTATCTTGATCCCACTCATTTCTCCCTCTGCCCTTGCACCACCCCTACCCACTGCCCCCCCCCCCCCCCCCCCCGGTAAAATAATATTTAAGAGAAAAAGAAAGAAAAAAAGAAAAGGATAAAGCTCCTCATGGAAGCTGCA